TCTAAATTCAAGTCAAAGGAGCCAAAACGGAAGGCGCTCAAACAAGGTCAGTTTTGAGGGTTAGGTTAGGCATTCTATTGTCAGCAGGAGAGGACATCATGAAGAGGCGTCGTGCGTGCTGGCACGTTCAGGTTTGCTACTGGAGCTGAAATATCGAAGATCGCAGCAGCCTTTGAAAACAGTCCGAAATCTGCGCCGGAACTAAGCGGCATCCAACATTTGTCACAGCCATGCTCGCCGCCGCCGACCCCAATCTCCTGAACTACGGGTTTACAGCAGTAGCTAATGCCACTAGCTACTGGTGTAAACCCGTAGTTCAGGGGTTTGCGGTCCGTGGCGGTGAGCATGGCTGTGACAAATGTTGGATGCCGCTTGGTTCCGGCTCAGATTTCGGACTGTTTTCAGAGGCTGCTGCGACCTTCGATATTTCCGCTCCAGTAGCAAACCTGGACGTGCCAGCACGCACGACGCCTGTTCATGGTGTCCTCTACTGACGACAATAGAATGCCTAACCTAACTCTGGCGGGAAGGTTGTTTTCTTTCTTTGTATAGGATTAAAGTATTGGGAAAGAGCCAGCGTCAAAACCGCTTTTCTGCCCCCCTACAGCGGAGAAAGTGGTGCGGTTGGCTTTTGCTTTCTGCCGTCTCATCATCTTGCTAACCTGCTGAGGAATTGCCGCTTCCGCTTGCTGTGGGTGCTCCGCATTGAGGCTGGTGATGTTGAGCTCGTTGGCCGCAGATAATGAAGTACTCCTACTTCCTATATACTCCGTACTACTTAGTGGTACTCGTTTTGGGCACCAGTTTTCGAAGGAGTGCGACGACTGTGATGAAGGTAACGAGAGCCGAGAGTCTTCGAAAACACAAAACTGCTGACTGATAACACGTATGTAGTTGTTGAACTTGGGCGAAGCATTAACATTAACACCACAAACACAAGCGTGATACGGTAGCACGGTAGCGTAAAGAGGCATTTGAGGGATATTCCCACCACCAAAACAGAGCATAGGTGGGGGCATATCGAGACCAAAGGAGCATATTCGATGAGCATAATTGACTTTTGCAGCATATTCCAAAAAATGGAGCATAAAAAACGAAAAAAGGAGCATAATGGGCCTATTAAGCCTAGGATTGGTGGATTGTACAACAACCCGACAAAAAATAGAGATCTCGTCAATCTGAGGCGGGTACCCTATCTTGCTATCTTTTGGGCCATATTTTGGGCCCCCCCCTCCAAAACCAACAACCCCCCCCGGTGTTTACCATCGGGGTTGGGTTTTCGTCGCTTGGCAACGACGTTGTAAAACAAGCCGCCCCACCCGGTTTTGCCATCGGGATTGGGTTTTCGTCTCTTGGCAAAGACGTTGTAAAAGAAGCCAATTCACTTCGTGAACTCGGCAACCAGGTTACCGTTTTTTTTTTTTACTCCGGTTTTTTTTTTTGGCGGTAACCATAATGGTGGTCGAGTAGATCATGTTGTGCGGGGTGGAGAACCCGCGCTCCGCGCAAGGGGGATGATCGCACCACGTTGTGTTGAAATGGTCAAGCACCCTCGAGGCAGTTACACAGTGCTTACAACTGTCTCTGGAAGTGAAAGCACCAGAAAATAAATTAATTCATACGCAGCTGTCATCCGTACGCAAGGAAGTAAGCACAAGATGCCGAACACCCTTAGCAGGATGCAGCGCACCCTTCATGCGACTCGCCGAATATCTCACGGCGCTTCGCGCTTGGTGATGTGAGAGCCTGGTCCGGTGAGAACCCGGCGTGCTCCGTCCCGGCTTTGTAGGGATGCGAGGTCAATGGTCTAACGACTACGGCATGCACGACTATGAGTACCCCCCCCCCCCCTCCAAAACCAACGCTGGTAGACTAAATTTCTCGTGTACTCGAGACAGGGTATATGTATCGTGTCCATCTCTCTCTCTCTCTCTCTCTCTCT